TCCTTCTAAATAACAAAAATTTCATCAATGGGAAAGGACTACAGTTCAATATGAAAGTAAGGATAACCATAAGCCTGTAACCGCTGGAATATCGGTCTTCATTACATTTTCATGATGGGGCCATCTCTAGCGCCCTTCTTTCCATTAATTTAATGATGTCCATTTCCATGCTACCAGCCAGGATCGCGTTATGTAAACGGCAGAGTTAGCAGCAGATATGTGGCAAGCAGAGTATGAGTTCCTTGTTGCCTTACCACTGAGTCGTACCTGTTTACTAACCTCGGAAGGAAGAAAAGCGAGCAATCGATCAGAGTCTCGAACTCGGGTGGAAAATCTCTTACTGAACAACCCTGGCGTGAACAGAGACATGTAATGAGTGTAATTTTTAAACAATATCCGTTTTGCTGTAATGACGACCTACGATTCTTAGAAAGCATCTCATCAATTATTTTGCTTTGAATGACTGATATTCTACAGATAAGATCGACAACCTTAAGCGAATAATGGGGCCGTCAAAGCAACATAAAGTTGCACAAACACTGCATCCATTGATTCATTGGGAATTTCGTCAGTATAAAGATAGGTAGCTTCAGTAATCAGCAATAAAAGCGTTAAAATGCCATGAAGGACACAGAGAGACAAGGTGTAGTAGATGCTACTGCTTCGCTATGCAACGTCATGTGTGTGGCCGCCTTTGTATCAAAAAACAATGGTCTTCAGGCTGCAGTAACAGCTGAACTACATGCAATTTGACAAACGCTCATATATGTATATATTTTATTTCAGAAGCGCATGACGGCCAGGTTCTCGTTATCATATCGACCATTACGTCTAGATGCCGAGGAGACCGTTTACTTAAAATGATGTGAGGAATCACGGGTGTAGAGACAGTTTCGTCAGCTTCTATGAGCAAGGGAGCAATGCCATAGCGTCCTGATACCCGACATGTTGGAGTTATACCGTCATTTACATATTCCTGGCGAAAGAACTTAGAACTTATTTCCCGGAAGTAATGTATGGTTATATAACGCATATGACGACAGTTTCTTATGCTTACAATGAAACCTAGATCAACCGCATCGCTATGCATCCTTTTTAACAGCATGGTTTATCTCGTACAGTAGGGCGTACGCCTCATTTAAGCTCGTCTCTTACCGCGTATAGGACAGTCTTGTCTTTAGTGTTAACATCATGATGTCATCGACTTGTTAGTCGTTTTCGACCGGTTCGACCGTATCACGGTGCAGCGAATTCCTTGCTCAAGGGAATTAGCAGTAAACAAGAAAAAAATTCATGAGAGATACAACAGAATTCATAAAAACACTTTTATTAAAGCGATATTTATCGTTAAAAAAGTTTTAAACAAAATTAATTAAACAGCCCCTTGCGCATCTTAGAGTCTGATATGGAGTTCCATGGAAATTCCAGTATGTTATATGAAATAGACTGAAAATATCAAAAATGAGCTAACCTTTTGGCTATTGCTTTTCTTTCTTTCGAAAATGACCGGATTCCATCGCTAAAGTTATAGTCAAAGTTCGGTTCAATGCCCTTAGCTTACAAAGAAACAAAAAATGACCAGATACATACAACACATGTCACTGCTTTTCGCGGTCCGACGAAATCTCTGTCGTACTCCCAGTGAGATCTTTCAATGATTTTCGCTGTTGGGCCGCCATTATTCATCGCATGTGCCGTCACCAGGTCTAAGCCGTCTGGAGACCAGTCAAGGCGAAGCACGTGAGTTGTCGGTCCGCACTATAAAATTCGTTCCATCAAATTATCTTTTATCATCAGTTATCAGCAATTCTATTAACTTCTCCTAAGCAATTTCAAGTCCAAGTCGCCGAGAATAAAGGTCAGGCCTGACGTGTATCGTAGTTAGTTCTCTTGTAACTTACTACTCACCACAGCAACACGTTACTAAACTTACGATGCCTTCCTTTGAGACACTGCTTAAACAGTCTCTCACCTGCAGAAAATCAAACTTTGTGCCATCTGCATTGGTTCATCAATCCCTTTATGTGAGACGAATTTATTAGCTGTTAAACAAAGAATACACCTGTCACTCGATTTACAAATTTCGCTGTGGTGAACCATCAGAAGCGTGAGTTCGTGGTTCGTGCATGGATTATGACACTGCAAAAAGTACAAAACACAGGCGTGCTTATGAACCGCTGCAAACGACCAGTAATACTTCTTAAGCTCACTTGCCTCTACCTTGAAGAATGCTGGAGAGTCATGAGCCAAAACAAGGTACCTACCAATCATGCTACTGATCAAATTAGTTGCACTGCGTATAAATACACTGTCTTGTCCTGTTTAAAATGAACCACGAATTTATGCCTATTTTAAATTCAAGAATATTCATTTTGCTACTATGAAGGACACAACTATGCCCGTGCGTTCGCTTCGGATATAACGAATGCAGAATAACAGAGCAGCAGACAGCACAAGAAAATCGCAAGCATGACTCTCCTGCCTCAACCTCCCAGCTGTGCTCGTGTCTGTCGTGATTATCAATTTCAGTAAGTACTGGCTTGTGATGTTGGTTGCATTCTCAGTTTCTCAACACTTCTTATTACAATGTACTACTTACTACACCGTAAAAGAAATAATTCCTCACTGACGTAGATCTGACTCAGCGTTTTTCAGTAGTAGAACTACAGTAATTCAGTTTTTAATGAAATCCGCTGCTTCCCCGCTTTCTAATTTGTCCTCATTATTTTTGCATCTCTACTATAATTATAATAATAGTTATATAACGTAAAATATCAGCTTCTGATGTACTACTTCAACAGTGCTTTACACGCTTAAACAGAACACAACTACGATAAAAATAATGCTGTTAGTTTTATGATGGAGTAGTATTCTAGTATATGCATGAGGAATATCAGTTAATTATTCTGGAAGGCGGGAATCAGTGGAACTACATTATATAATTATAAATTATATATTCCTATCAGGTGCGCGC